CCCCATATTTCCTCTCATGAATGTCAAAAACATTTTAACACTTTTTTTCTGTTGTTTTTTCAGCGCGGCAAAATGCCACAGTGATGGTGAACAAGTGCAATGGTCAGTGGAAACAATTTTTGTCTGTTCTGGAAAGCTTGATTTTCCAGTTAGTAAATTAATCGAAGAAAAAGAAATAAGGCATGCACCAATGCATCAGATCAACATCGGTATCAGCCGATATTGAACTTCTGATTCAGAGTAAAGTTTGTTATCGGGCAGATGAAGGACCTGGTGAACAAAACTCTGACTTGTTTCATGTCAAACATGAGAGAAAATGTTGCATTGTGGGAGTCTTACACCAAAAGAACTCTTGGTATGGACCTAGTCCGTTACTTAACTCTATATATCATGTTTTATTCCAGGTTGTTTTAAATGGCTGTGCATGTATTTGTCTCCCAGGGTTACCAGGTGTCGCTGAAGAGCACGCGGGGTGCTATCGACGTCTTCCTCTGTCCAGAAGACAGCTCCGGCGTCTGCAGCCCAGTGACAGATGTAGTCCCTCCAAACCCAATGCTGACTCTCCTCTTGTCCCGCCTCCTGCACAACCCACAGACCAATCACAAGCCAGAGCATCCACAAACACCCTGGATGTGGGTTTATCATCACCAGCATCCACGTCGTCCACGGTGACGGCAGCCTCCCAGCAGGACCCGTCGTCTCTGGTGTTAGGAGGGGACACAGGTGAGTACTCACATGTCTGTAAATATGTTTGTATCTATTGGATGTACTTTAAAGAACGCTGTAAATGCTGGTTGCTCTGGTTAATATGAACTCATGTTAGGTAAATAAAAAAAAATCCCAAGTGTGTTACAAGAAGATGAAGCCAACTTCTGTGCAACACTGACCTAATCCTCATCCTCACTGATGTACATATCATTTAACATCAGGGTGCCCTATTAGCTTTAAATTCTACTTCTACCAAAGTGAAATATAGAAAGCCTGGCTTGCTAACTTGAGGAAAAAGTTTGAACTTTCTTTTTTAACTTTAACTAGTTTTCATGATGGCAAATTTTCAATCCAACCAAAACTTTCATGCCTCCTGGAGTAAAACGCTGACGGGGCGGAAGGCCACTGTAGAAAACAACACAAAGCTGTGCACCTCCACAACATTAACCAGAGTCCTATCAGTCACACTCAAGCATTCAACTAATTGATCAGGTCATAGACTAGCCTCTGATCCGCCATACAACCAAATCACCTCCCCCATTTCTGTGTAGATAGTGGCACATGTAGACAAGCAGGAAGGAGGCAGACACTTAATGTGGTGAGGTTGGATCCTCAGTTTTCCCTTTAATAGTTGATAAAACAAGACTCTTGTGAGAGAAAAACCGTGATTCACATTTAAGCAAAAGTCGTGCTCAATCACATGTATTTGTGTGTAACTATTTATTGATCTAAAACTGTCACTGTGACTTCACATTGTTTCACCTCTGTAACAGAATCCCTCCTTGGAGGCGACCCGTTCTCCGGCCTCGCAGACATGCCCGATTTTAACTTTTCACCCCTCTCCTCCTCGGACTTCCTGAACGGCGAGGGCTTTCCCCTCCCGCTGGACGGCTTCATCAACCTATCCCCCCCTCACAGTCATGATTACCACTTTGGACTAGAGGACAATGAAGGCATCAGTGAACTGTTTGACTGTGACTTTGGAGACCTTTCGCAAGTTCTGGGCGACAGTTAAAGAAGAAGAAGAAGAAGGAGGTTCAGCTTTTAGGACTTTCTTCTTTCTGTTGGGGCTTCTCAAGGAGTGCAGGAATTTCAGGACAAATCTTTGTCAAAATCTCAGCCTTCATATTCTAAGCGTGGGTTGTGGGAGAACGTGTAGTTATTACCTTGGTGAACCCGACAACAACCACCCAAATCTCAAACTGGCCCCAAATTGTACAGCACACTATTAGCACTTCTTTTGGCCATTGCAACATTTTAGACCAAGAATTGAGCTCTAGTATAGCTATTTAAATTATTTATACGAATGCTATTTTGATATTTTGTACCAAGTGAGCTTTTTTTGTTATAATTGATGATGTTATATCCGAGTGGAGAGCGCAGGTAGGTAGGTGTGTGTGTGTATATATGTGTGTGTGTGTGTGTGTGGAGTATGGATTCATAGGGCTGGTTTTTCCTTAACACTGATTGGCTCAAATCTAACTACTTATACTCCTCGTCTCAGCGGCCATGTTGTGTTCTGTAAGGTTGCATTTTTCGGCAAAGTCAGAGAGTTTGCACCCAACAGAAGCTGCCTCTATGGAACCAGTATCACAGGAAGTGCAGGTTCAGTGATGGGCCGTCCAGAAGTGTCTTGGTGCAGTTTCAAATATATATTTTTCACAACTATAGAGATGATCATAAGCACAAAGGTAAAAGCTTCATGATAATCAGATTTGTCAAACACACTGGAATCCTTTAAGACTGGAGTGAAATTCGAGATTTTATTGCCCAATCGAACGACTCGATTTGCACATGTTCCACGGCGGATTATTAAATGTACATAAAGACAGAGAGACTGTGTATAAGAAGTGGACATAGCCACCTTAATCATCACCCATTTGTGTGGAACTACCTTTTAAAAAGACGAAAGTTTACATCTTTGGTGTCACCGTTTTCTTTCTTTTGAGCTGGTGAAGATGGAGGCGTTAGCAAACATTTAGCTACCAGCTACTGCTAGCTTAGTTAGCAAGCTGCAGCCACACCTAACTGAAAGCTCATTCGTCTTCACTTAAAACAGGATTCAAACAAAATGTAAAGACAGAAACGTTACTTCCTTGTCCTCAAAGTGTAACAACAAAGTCACATTCTGGTTGCCGTGGTTTCAACTTGTCAATCACAAGTTCACATGCACCAAAGCATACAGCGCTTTACAGCTGGATTACTGTTCATTTACAACCACAAAATCCATCTTTCTGATTAATGTGGCTTAACATGGAAACTTGTTTTGCACAAATGTAAACAAACTCTACAAGCTAAGATATTGTTGACTTGTGACAGTTTACAGCCGTTTACGATTGCAATACATTAGGTTCATCAAATACAGTTTGTAAGTTCAACTAACTTATATTTAAAAAAAAAATTGAAATTAGATCTAAATAATTCTAATTTGTATATAATGCTTGACTGAAATGATTTTAAAATGTACTTAAGAAAAAAAACTAAGTACCTCCCAGTAGTTTTCCAAAGTACCCAGAGGAGGTACTTTGACCTCAAATTGAAAAATGCTCTTATATATCACCGTAAATTGAACTTTTATTTTCAAATTTGAACACCACGCTGTGTTTAAAAAACGATTTGAAAATTGCCACAAACTTATCAGGAAGAAGTTTACTGAAGCTGGTGGAAGTGAGCTCCTTTTTTTTTTTTTTTTTATAGATTTTAAAACATGCTAATTTCTTGGATCTGCCCCCTGCTGGTTATAGGAAAGAATGCAGCTGTAAAGACCTTCCACATTCAAACATACTGTATATGTCCACTTCTTATTAACAGTCTATTCAAATAGATTAAGGTGCATTTCATAATGTCCCTCCAAACCCTGCTGAGCAACAGATGAATCAACACGGGCAAGAAGCTGAGATGCCTTTAGGGAGCTTTGCCCTCATAGTTCTTCAAATAAAAGTTAAGATGGGTTAGAGAGAACTTCACAATGGTCTTTAGTTGTTATTATGTCTTGTGCCGCTGGATGTTTCCAAAGCCATCTTAGGGACGGCAGAGTGTCCACAGGGAGACGAATAATGTAGATTTGAAGGCTCAAGATATGTTCGTTATTGTGTTGGAAACAAGTTGATAATAATCCGCTGCAGTTCTGCTAGCAGGTTTAAAAAATTAATGCTGTCTATTAGTGACCTAAGCCTTAGACTCAGGTGTTCAGAGAAAAGTCTTACATACATGTTTGTTGATGCAGCGTGCGAGAGTTCCAGTGTTAGAGATGCAGTGTGTGGGTTGTGTGTAGGTTGATTTTAGTTTTAGACATGTTTTTAACTGTCCTGCAACTTTCCTCTGCCGAGGGTTCAGAGCTGAAAAGTTTCACCAGATGCCTGTAAATCGTTGTCCCCTGACTGACTGTTTTTGTCATGCTAAGGAGCTCCCAGCAGGTCCTCACTCACAGATACACTTCAGCAGATCTTCAGATTCAAAGCTCAGCTGCATCCTTTCATTCATCAAATCAGCGCAGAGCTTGTTCATCTCTCTCCTCGTTCTGCTATATGCACTTCATATGAGTTCAGAAAGTTAATGTTCATGCCTTAAATCAATGACCTCTACTGTGTGCAGAGGAGGTACCTGGATTGTTTTATTGTGGCCCCTATAGAGGATCAATCCCTCCCTTTCTTAACACCCTTCTACGTGGCTAATTGATTTTCATTTGAAGTAACAGTCATCATGTACTGGGTGTGTGAGGGAGCAAAGTGTCCTGCAATGTGTTGTGTGTTTAATGTTATATTTACATACATCTGCGTCAAATCTTTTCATTTCTTGTTCTAAATTAAGTAAGCTAACTTTTTCTCCTTTTTTTGCATTCCTGAAGTTTGTGATGTGTGTACGGGTGCATGTATGACAAATACAATGTTTTTTTGTTGTTGAATTTTCTATTTATTCAAAAAGAGGGGTTTAATGGGGAATGGTACAGTTTGTTGTTTTTTCTCATTGATTTTTTTTCTGGCAGGAAGCGATTATCACTCTTTCTTCCCGACTGATTAATGTGTCATTCAATGGAGGGGATGTGTCTATAATTAGCTTCTCATTACTAGCACCTTCACGTCTTAATCCTCCACTTTAATGACCCTTCCCCTGTTCTTCCTTCTGAGCATGTGCAACCTTTGCATTGGCTAATAGTGCAAAAAATAAAAACAATTGGAAAAAAACTTCATAAATACAGATGTCTTAGTGATGGCAGACATCTCGATGTTGCAGGCAACATTGCTTATCTGAGGCTGCACATGTGTTCTCGTGGGTCACCCCTGGGTGCCTCAGACTGTCCTGTATGTGTAAATTATTCAAACTACTTTCAAGTGATTGTTTCAGTTCCTCGAATCTAGCCTGAAATCTCGTCCGTATCTGAAAAGTTTTTAACTGACAGCAACTCAACATGTTCAGCTTCTTTTGTTAGTAAGAAGATGGCTGTACCATACTTTTGTTACCCTTTATAATGTGTCTTATAATCCATCTATCCCAGCCTCTTTATTTTTAATTTTTTTCGTTTGCAGAGTGTGAGCATGTGTGTGTTGATTTTTGGTTCTCTGCAGAACAAATGCAGTGCCTTGTTCAAGTGAAATGTTGGATAATTCATTCAAATCAGGAAGTCGTTTGATGTCAGGTCACGGTGAACGAATGCAATGTTTTCAGGGTTTGTGTGGTTTTTTTGTTTGAATAAAGAAGAAGTAACTTTCACACCAGGGTTGAAATCAAATCACCTTCAGTCAAAATGCACAAAAAAAGAACATTACACTTCTGAAAGGTTTCCAAATTGAGACAAAGGTGTCTCATGATCTATTGAAGAAAAACAAAATGTTTACAAGCGTTATCTCGTGGCAGGACTTCCTGGTTTGGTAGGACTGCCTGGTTTAACAGGTCGAAGGTGAATTGACTCCAGCCCTGACTGAGTTTCTTTTCAAAGTGCTTTTAAGAAACACATAACAATCATTCACTCTTAACTCTGTTATTTTACAAAATGTTATTTTTGTTGTTACATACTGGCAAAAAAAAAGAAGCAGGTTTTGTACTTATGAACTCTTAATTGGCCCAACTCTGGCCTTTTGTATCGGATTTCTTCAACAAAAATAAAAAGGGATTGTTTTGATTTGATCCTCCGAAACGCAGCGTCTCTCTCTGAACAACAGACAGAAATACAACACGTGTCAGACCAGGAAAGGAGGAATAAGTGCAAGTTGGTTTGGGAGAAATTAAATAAATTTAGATGATAAATCAAGTCAGGGGGAGGGGAAGCTGAGAGAGACCGGGACACACAATTAAAACCAACTTTTAATCAAAATTATCTCACAATTTAGCATAATAATAAAACTCAAGAGCTGGGAGCACAGCAGGAAATGAAACAGAAAATAAATCAACATAAAAGGGTCAATTACTAATTTCCTGCAGTTTTCTTCACTACCTATGAACAGTTACTCACCTTTGCCTCTAGAGGGCGCTCTTCGACCAAAACTGCACAACAAGGAAAGCAAACAAGCATTAAAACATTTCAGCTGATAAAGACCGACCTTAGATTCATATTCATTTCAGAAATGTTTCCTGTTATTGATTCAAACTGAATGAAGTGTTTCAGTCCCTCAGTCCATTCCTGGAGATCAACCAAAACAAAATCTAATCAACAAAGCTTTATTGATATCTCACCTTACATACAAATCAAATCTGTCTCTAGTGAGTTTGTGGACGTAAAGGGAATAAAAAATGAGTCATCAGGACATCTCGAGTCTTTGAAAACATCAGTGTTGTTGTGATACAGAGCCTCCAGTAATCTGAGGTCTTTAATTAATGGTTAGATGTTTTGTGTACAATATCCTCTGGAGCAAATATTTGTATTGACTATTCAAATGATTTGAACTCTTGAAGTCCAAGTGATAAAAACAAACAGCTGAGCTATTTCCAGAAAAAGCTAATTAATATTTCCCACCATTTCTAACTATTGTTGTTGAATTTGAGACATCATTTATAAACCATTTTCATTAAAGGTATTATTTCAGATTTTTCCCTTTTTCTTCCTCGCGGTCACATTTAGCAATGCGCTTTGTAAAATATCTTTGCAGCCACTTCTTTTGCTTTTTTAAGTGACTTCAAAGCTCATTTGTCGTTGCATTGGGATTCACTTCACTTCACTTCAACCTTCACTGGCTGCTGATGTTCCCCACATGACAGTACCAGTTTAATCATTGTTAAAATAATAATTACTAGCTAAGTATGGACGATCGTTTGCAGAAGATAACACAGAAATGTTGCTATGATGATGGATGACCACAAGAAAAAGAAAGAATGAAAAGTTCAAGTCTTTGAACATTTATTGGAAATTCCTCAGTGATTTTTCCAAAGAAAGGGCGGTCAAAGTATTTTTGTTTCAGAGGAAAGGTGTACCCGCGATCCCGCATAATACTTAAAGCACTTCCTGTAGATGATACGGGTATGTGTGATTACTGAAGGCGTGTGCACTGAGTCATCTGTTGAGGTGGAAAAATCAGTGGCATTACAAAAAGCCTCTGCCTTTATTCCTTTGTATTGACTGTACTGAGTCAAGTGATTGCAGCAGAGTCATTGAAAGAAGACCATGTCCTAAATTTAAGATGATTACATGTGATGCTAGATTTCAGCCACATTTTGTTAAAAAAGTGAGAATACATTTCCTTAATCTGTTACCAAATCTAGAAATCTTTGCCTGTTTTTTTAGTGTAGCTTTACTGGTTGACCAGTTGACTTGTTTTAAGTCTGGCTGCACCAAAAATCTTGGCGACTGATATTGTCTTGTTTTTTCTCAGATCATCGTTTTGCTCATCGCAACTCATTTCCTCCCCCATTTCTTTTATTTTCCTCTCAGGATTGAGAGCTGACTTATTACTTCTGATTGGGTCTTTGAAAGGCCAAGTCCCTGACACACTGTGCAGCTTCTTTTTTAGAGTCAACTAAACATTTTAAACTAGCTGAGACAACCACTTGCTTCTCTTCAGTTGGTATTCTCTCATTATATTTTGTGTATGACCTCTTAAAGCGCCTGCGTTCCCTCTCTGAAGAAGTGAAGAAGACCTCTCGCTTGCTCTTTCTCTCGTTCTTTCTTCTCTCTCTCTGTCTCTCTCTCTCCGCTCTTTCTCTCTCTTTTTGCATCAGGTATTCATTGTGCTATACCAGCATTTTATGGTTGAATTAGTAACTTTTGCATCATTTCGTTATTGTTTTTTTTTCTGTCAGTGTGATGGCACTGTAGGAAATGTTTTTCTTTTAATGTGCCTGAATCATCCCATAAGGAAGGGGTCGGATATGAAAATAAAGATTCATTCATTCATTCTTTCATTCCTTTGGTTAAAACAAATGCTGTTAATAGGTTTGGTTTGCCACTGAGGACTAGTATTACCAGTAGATAGAGACAGCAAAAAAAAAAAGAGGGAGCATGAGATGTTTATCAGTGTGAAGGTGGAGCCTGCTTGTCATTCCTTCAGACGCTTGTAAATCCTTGTGTCAGATCATGGACTGCATGCAGCAGAAAACACACGACCCTCATGGTGAGTTTACAATGTGAAGGAGAGAGAATAATAGGATTAAACATTCTTTAGTCAAGAACTATTGTTTGTTTTTGTTTTCAATGACACATGATGAGAAAAACTTATATTGCTAGTAATTGTTTTTAACCTTTATCTGCAAAACTTTCCTCTTATAATTTCCCCTTTTTTAATGTTAATTCCAGCTCCGGCTGCACTTCTCAAGTATATGATGGATCATTCTAATTTCTCATGCAACCTGTTTTTTCCAGTGTTTTATTCTAGATCAGCATTGTTTTCATAATCTGTGTTTTACGCTACTGTTGAGGGCCAGTGCCGACTGAAGCTGGTCAACTATGAGGCTTCCGAGAACCACATTTCCCATGAGACGGAGGGGCTCAGCAGAAAACACCTGGTTGTGCGGCGAGGGAAACCGTTCAAAATCACTCTGATGTTTGGTGGCCGGCCGTGGAATCCTCATATCGAGAGCCTGGTCCTGGAGGTTTGGCTAGGTAGCAAAGAGATTGAGCATGCATTTAAATGCTTTGAATGAAGCAGTTGTGTGTTTCTGGGGGAAGGTTCCTGTGTTAGAAATGGGGCCCTGGATGAGGAACGTTAGGGAAAACAGAGGTGGAGTTTTTACAGTTCAATTTTGTTTCGATTTTTTTGCACACAAAGAAATAAAGCTTATGGAATTGTAAAGTAGACATGGGTCAGAGCCAGGGACAGTATGGAGCAAAGACAGGAAAGATAAAACAGACAAAACAGACAATGTCAGAAAACACAAACAAATGACATGAAACAGAGTTACTTACTTTGAATTTGTGTTTTCAAGATGCCACAAGTTATCTGTTATTTCATTTTTCATTACAGGGGATGTGTCAGAGAAAATCAGAGTCCAGTTCTCCGACGAGTGGTCCGACCCCTTAAGATGGTCAGCCAAAATCTACCAAAGCGACATGCATCCTCAGTCAGTCATGGTCCACATCTGCTCCCCGGTCCTGTCCTCAGTGGCTCTTTATGAACTCCTTCTCCACATTGAAACCAGACGGACCAGAAGGAGCTACGTAGTGGGAACATTTGTCCTGCTCTGCAACCCCTGGCTGAAAGGTCGGTCCATGTAATGTCATAATTCTGCTTCTTCATCTTGTCAAAGAAATTATGTTTGCTGTCGCGTTTTGGGTTGAGAGATCAAATGCTTGATGTTGCATTCAGAAGTCATAAACAAAGGCAATCTGAAGAAAAATATATTCTAAGATTTCACAACTTTTCCTCTTTTTGATCCAATTCAATCAAGAAGCAGTGAAATTGTGATGACTTTGGACCCAGAAGTACGATTAAACGTTACATTATAGCAGCATTTGTACTTTCCTACCTCAACATGATGTCAGAGGAAAATGGCCGCCATGTGAATACACTGAATTTATTTTTCAGACGACCCGGTGTACATGCCACTGGGTGTCCAAACACAAGAGTACATTAAAAGTGACTACGGGATGCTGTACATGGGCACTCCTCTCAACATCAGCAGGCAACCCTGGTCGTTCGGTCAGGTAAGCCACACATTTTTTAAATAAAAAGATCACCTATAATAACACATTTGAGCTACATTGGGGTTCTGTTTGTGCAGTATGAGCCTGGGGTCCTGGAGGCATGTCTGCGGCTCCTACAGGTCAGCCCACAGCACCTGAGGGACAAAAACAAAGACTACGCTCTGCGAGCAGACCCTGTGTACCTCAGCAGGACGCTCTGCGCTATGGTGAGAGACAAATAATGTATTTACTGGATGTGCTGTAGATGTGTTCAAACAGTATTTGCCATCATTGCCCCCTAAAACGGCCCCCTTGTCTCCTCCAAGGTAAACTGTAATGACGACCTGGGGATTTTGATGGGGAAGTGGCAGGGCAGCTATAAAGATGGCGTCAAGCCTACAGAGTGGAGCAGCAGCGCTGACATCCTTCACCACTGGTTCAGATCCAGCTGCAGGCCTGTGCGCTACGGACAGTGCTGGGTTTTTGCTTCTGTCCTCTGCACAGGTACTTTAAATAATTGGGACTCAGGGATGTATTAGTGCCAAAAGCATGGATGACATTTGGGTTTATCAAGTGTTCTCCATCTGTCCCTTGGATTTCAGAAAGTTAGTTCAGGTTACTGATAGGATCAACTAAACTCTAACACATCTTTTTATTTAAACTGTGATACCTGTAACGGTAAATTGGTAATCCTTTCAGAAAAATAACACTATTAATCCGTTTTGTTCCTTCTGTTTGTGCCGTCACATGTTTCATACCGTCGGAGGTCCATGCTTCACACTTTTTCATTCAATAAATCTGATTGGTTGAAAAAATATCCAAAATTTGGGTCCCAATTTTCATGAATGAGTTAGTGGGGGGCCTTAGGCTAGACCAGTTGAGAACCACTGATCTATGGGATTGTCATTGGTTTGCCACATATTTTACTAATTAGGCCTAACATTTTGTACCTCTCTTGATTATTTCAAAATCGTCTTCTTTCTAGTTTTCACAATCGTGTTTTTTCTCCTCTCTCTTAGTGATGAGAGTGCTGGGGATTCCCTCCAGGGTGGTGACAGTTTTTAACGCAGCCCATGACGGTGATGGCAGCTTGTCAGTCGAAGAATATTACACGAGCACAGGCGAAAAGCTTAACCTGTCAAAGGACAGCATTTGGTAGGTTTCAAAATCCTCCAAATTAAACCTACATTAATTTTTGCTCTCTCAAAATGCTTACTTACTTATCATATGATAGTTTAAAATACATGTGTGCAGCTGTTCATGTATGTTCGTCTTCTTGCAGGAACTTCCATGTGTGGGTGGAGTGCTGGATGAGGAGACCAGACCTCGGCTCTGGGTTTGACGGCTGGCAGGTGGTGGACCCGACACCCCAGGAGAAGAGTGCAGGTTGGTACATGCACCATCTGTCATCAATGAACAGCAACCTTTACAATTAGAATATTAAACCAGCCTGGTGGATGTGTCAGAAACTGCAATACCTCGATTGGCCACATGTTTAGTTAGTAGTGTTGTTGCCTTTTCAGGGAATTGTTCATACACATTTTGGACAAATATTAAAGGTCACATTATGCAATTTACACTTCAACAAGATCTTTCAAACACTAATATGTCTGTTTACAAACCCCCCAATTATGAGAGAAGTCCATTCTCTCCATCTTTTGCCTGCTCCACTTTTCTGAAAATGTGTACTCAAACAGACTGTTTGGAGATTTTTAGTACTTCTCCCCATAAACAATAGGGCATGGTGCAAGAATGCCAGAGCCACATCCCCTTCCAGAGAGGGGGCGTGGTCAGGCACAGCTCATTTACATTTAAAGGTACAGACACAGAAACAGCCTGTTCTGAGCAGGGCTGAAATAGAGGGGTTTATAGATATTATAAAGTACAGGATTGGGGTGGATTTTTAACAAGACACTTCACAGGCATGTTTTGGGGAGCTCAGAGACTTATTTAAAGTTGTTGAAAAAAGTTGAATATATATGACCTTTTATGGCGTAATGAGCAGTTACACTAACAGAATCAACTATTTTTTTTCTCACACTATTTGATTCAGACTCATAGTCCACAAACCAGTGGATGATGTCATGGTGGATTCATCAATTATTTGGAATTTGATTCTTTGATTCTGTAATTCTGTAATTCTTTTCCATATTTGGACAATGATCTTAAGGCACAAAGTGAAAAATAATTGTGTCAAACGCTGAGTACTTAACAATGAACATATCCTTCTCTGCAGGGATATACTGCTGTGGCCCTTGCCCTGTTGTTGCCATCCAGCAACATTGCCTGGGCGCCCTCTACGACTCCGGCTTTATCAGTGCTTCAGTTGATGCTGACATCATACGTCTGATTGTGAGTGATGGACTGGTGGTGGAGAGGACGGTGGACACTGAGGCAGTGGGACAGCTGATCTACACCAAGAGCATCGGCTCAGACCGACCAGAGAATCTGACACCTGCTTATAAGGGCAAGAAAAGTAAGACAATGTCCTCCTAGAAAAAGATTTCCTCTCATTTATAATGTTATAAGAAATAGGTCAGATTCACATATGTTCAAAAGATAAGGACAAATAACTTAATTGTTTGAGTTAAATTAAAGGAGCAATATGTAACTGACACATAGCTTTTAGAAATTGGTACTGGAGTCCAGATTCAAACCTTTGGAGAGACCTGTATCATCACTAGAGTCGATGCTCATGCAGGTTGCCATGTGGTGGACACTGAAGCTTTAGTGTTTATCCAGATCTGTAAACATTTCTGCGTTTTAACCTCTCTCCATTTTTCAAAAGCATCGCCAATATTGATCCATTCTGCTCGTGGAGCTTATTAGAAACATGCAGAGGCTTTTTAGGTCGGCTACAATCACCTCTATCTGAACCACTTCTCTTGCCCGCTTCCATCGCTGTAACACCTGTTGCTTTGACCTGATAACTGCTCTCATATCTGGCAAACTGAGGGGCATCCAAAACGGCCATGTGGGGGTGTGCCTTAAAAGCGCCTACCTTCTCTGGTCCAAACAAATCCAGAGCATTCAGGACCAGAATCTAAAGTTTGAAGGAGGACATACTGGCTGCTGCATTGTTGTCAGAGAAGCCAGCACTTCAACATGTTTCCTTAATGTCTGATCATATAGTAAGGTCACTTTATCATTTCAGTCAGTAGATATCTTACATATTGCTCCTTTAAGTTAAAATAAAAATTTACTTCTTCATCTGGTTTATCCTTTGACAACGTTCAAGAGTTTGATTTTATACTTTTAAAAAAATAGATCCTGAGGTCTGTGTTTGTATCCTAACAGCCTATTTAACTTTCTATACCCAACTTTCCCAAACTGACACAAGCAATTTGTTTAAGTGATAAACTTCTTTTCCAATGTCTTCCCTCTCTCAGGAGTTCAACCAACAGGAGCTGTAAGATGCACACCAAGAAGTGGTACGATGATTACAGCGTGCCATAATCCTCCCCCCTCCCCCATATTTCCTCTCATGAATGTCAAAAACATTTTAACACTTTTTTTTCTGTTGTTTTTCAGCGCGGCAAAATGCCACAGTGATGGTGAACAAGTGCAATGGTCAGTGGAAACAATTTTTGTCTGTTCTGGAAAGCTTGATTTTCCAGTTAGTAAATTAATCGAAGAAAAAGAAATAAGGCATGCACCAATGCATCAGATCAACATCGGTATCAGCCGATATTGAACTTCTGATTCAGAGTAAAGGTTTGTTATCGGGCAGATGAAGTGACCTGGTGAACAAACTCTGACTTGTTTTCATGTCAAACATGAGAGAAAATGTTGCATTGTGGGAGTCTTACACCAAAAGAACTCTTGGTATGGACCTAGTCCGTTACTTAACTCTATATATCATGTTTTATTCCAGGTTGTTTTAAATGGCTGTGCATGTATTTGTCTCCCAGGGTTACCAGGTGTCGCTGAAGAGCACGCGGGGTGCTATCGACGTCTTCCTCTGTCCAGAAGACAGCTCCGGCGTCTGCAGCCCAGTGACAGATGGTAGTCCCTCCAAACCCAATGCTGACTCTCCTCTTGTCCCGCCTCCTGCACAACCCACAGACCAATCACAAGCCAGAGCATCCACAAACACCCTGGATGTGGGTTTATCATCACCAGCATCCACGTCGTCCACGGTGACGGCAGCCTCCCAGCAGGACCCGTCGTCTCTGGTGTTAGGAGGGGACACAGGTGAGTACTCACATGTCTGTAAATATGTTTGTATCTATTGGATGTACTTTAAAGAACGCTGTAAATGCTGGTTGCTCTGGTTAATATGAACTCATGTTAGGTAAATAAAAAAAAATCCCAAGTGTGTTACAAGAAGATGAAGCCAACTTCTGTGCAACACTGACCTAATCCTCATCCTCACTGATGTACATATCATTTAACATCAGGGTGCCCTATTAGCTTTAAATTCTACTTCTACCAAAGTGAAATATAGAAAGCCTGGCTTGCTAACTTGAGGAAAAAGTTTGAACTTTCTTTTTTAACTTTAACTAGTTTTCATGATGGCAAATTTTCAATCCAACCAAAACTTTCATGCCTCCTGGAGTAAAACGCTGACGGGGCGGAAGGCCACTGTAGAAAACAACACAAAGCTGTGCACCTCCACAACATTAACCAGAGTCCTATCAGTCACACTCAAGCATTCAACTAATTGATCAGGTCATAGACTAGCCTCTGATCCGCCATACAACCAAATCACCTCCCCCATTTCTGTGTAGATAGTGGCACATGTAGACAAGCAGGAAGGAGGCAGACACTTAATGTGGTGAGGTTGGATCCTCAGTTTTCCCTTTAATAGTTGATAAAACAAGACTCTTGTGAGAGAAAAACCGTGATTCACATTTAAGCAAAAGTCGTGCTCAATCACATGTATTTGTGTGTAACTATTTATTGATCTAAAACTGTCACTGTGACTTCACATTGTTTCACCTCTGTAACAGAATCCCTCCTTGGAGGCGACCCGTTCTCCGGCCTCGCAGACATGCCCGATTTTAACTTTTCACCCCTCTCCTCCTCGGACTTCCTGAACGGCGAGGGCTTTCCCCTCCCGCTGGACGGCTTCATCAACCTATCCCCCCCTCACAGTCATGATTACCACTTTGGACTAGAGGACAATGAAGGCATCAGTGAACTGTTTGACTGTGACTTTGGAGACCTTTCGCAAGTTCTGGGCGACAGTTAAAGAAGAAGAAGAAGAAGGAGGTTCAGCTTTTAGGACTTTCTTCTTTCTGTTGGGGCTTCTCAAGGAGTGCAGGAATTTCAGGACAAATCTTTGTCAAAATCTCAGCCTTCATATTCTAAGCGTGGGTTGTGGGAGAACGTGTAGTTATTACCTTGGTGAACCCGACAACAACCACCCAAATCTCAAACTGGCCCCAAATTGTACAGCACACTATTAGCACTTCTTTTGGCCATTGCAACATTTTAGACCAAGAATTGAGCTCTAGTATAGCTATTTAAATTATTTATACGAATGCTATTTTGATATTTTGTACCAAGTGAGCTTTTTTTGTTATAATTGATGATGTTATATCCGAGTGGAGAGCGCAGGTAGGTAGGTGTGTGTGTGTATATATGTGTGTGTGTGTGTGTGTGGAGTATGGATTCATAGGGCTGGTTTTTCCTTAACACTGATTGGCTCAAATCTAACTACTTATACTCCTCGTCTCAGCGGCCATGTTGTGTTCTGTAAGGTTGCATTTTTCGGCAAAGTCAGAGAGTTTGCACCCAACAGAAGCTGCCTCTATGGAACCAGTATCACAGGAAGTGCAGGTTCAGTGATGGGCCGTCCAGAAGTGTCTTGGTGCAGTTTCAAATATATATTTTTCACAACTATAGAGATGATCATAAGCACAAAGGTAAAAGCTTCATGATAATCAGATTTGTCAAACACACTGGAATCCTTTAAGACTGGAGTGAAATTCGAGATTTTATTGCCCAATCGAACGACTCGATTTGCACATGTTCCACGGCGGATTATTAAATGTACATAAAGACAGAGAGACTGTGTATAAGAAGTGGACATAGCCACCTTAATCATCACCCATTTGTGTGGAACTACCTTTTAAAAAAGACGAAAGTTTACATCTTTGGTGTCACCGTTTTCTTTCTTTTGAGCTGGTGAAGATGGAGGCGTTAGCAAACATTTAGCTACCAGCTACTGCTAGCTTAGTTAGCAAGCTGCAGCCACACCTAACTGAAAGCTCATTCGTCTTCACTTAAAACAGGATTCAAACAAAATGTAAAGACAGAAACGTTACTTCCTTGTCCTCAAAGTGTAACAACAAAGTCACATTCTGGTTGCCGTGGTTTCAACTTGTCAATCACAAGTTCACATGCACCAAAGCATACAGCGCTTTACAGCTGGATTACTGTTCATTTACAACCACAAAATCCATCTTTCTGATTAATGTGGCTTAACATGGAAACTTGTTTTGCACAAATGTAAACAAACTCTACAAGCTAAGATATTGTTGACTTGTGACAGTTTACAGCCGTTTACGATTGCAATACATTAGGTTCATCAAATACAGTTTGTAAGTTCAACTAACTTATATTTAAAAAAAAAATTGAAATTAGATCTAAATAATTCTAATTTGTATATAATGCTTGACTGAAATGATTTTAAAATGTACTTAAGAAAAAAAACTAAGTACCTCCCAGTAGTTTTCCAAAGTACCCAGAGGAGGTACTTTGACCTCAAATTGAAAAATGCTCTTATATATCACCGTAAATTGAACTTTTATTTTCAAATTTGAACACCACGCTGTGTTTAAAAAACGATTTGAAAATTGCCACAAACTTATCAGGAAGAAGTTTACTGAAGCTGGTGGAAGTGAGCTCCTTTTTTTTTTTTTTTTTTTATAGATTTTAAAACATGCTAATTTCTTGGATCTGCCCCCTGCTGGTTATAGGAAAGAATGCAGCTGTAAAGACCTTCCACATTCAAACATACTGTATATGTCCACTTCTTATTAACAGTCTATTCAAATAGATTAAGGTGCATTTCATAATGTCCCTCCAAACCCTGCTGAGCAACAGATGAATCAACACGGGCAAGAAGCTGAGATGCCTTTAGGGAGCTTTGCCCTCATAGTTCTTCAAATAAAAGTTAAGATGGGTTAGAGAGAACTTCACAATGGTCTTTAGTTGTTATTATGTCTTGTGCCGCTGGATGTTTCCAAAGCCATCTTAGGGACGGCAGAGTGTCCACAGGGAGACGAATAATGTAGATTTGAAGGCTCAAGATATGTTCGTTATTGTGTTGGAAACAAGTTGATAATAATCCGCTGCAGTTCTGCTAGCAGGTTTAAAAAATTAATGCTGTCTATTAGTGACCTAAGCCTTAGACTCAGGTGTTCAGAGAAAAGTCTTACATACATGTTTGTTGATGCAGCGTGCGAGAGTTCCAGTGTTAGAGATGCAGTGTGTGGGTTGTGTGTAGGTTGATTTTAGTTTTAGACATGTTTTTAACTGTCCTGCAACTTTCCTCTGCCGAGGGTTCAGAGCTGAAAAGTTTCACCAGATGCCTGTAAATCGTTGTCCCCTGACTGACTGTTTTTGTCATGCTAAGGAGCTCCCAGCAGGTCCTCACTCACAGATACACTTCAGCAGATCTTCAGATTCAAAGCTCAGCTGCATCCTTTCATTCATCAAATCAGCGCAGAGCTTGTTCATCTCTCTCCTCGTTCTGCTATATGCACTTCATATGAGTTCAGAAAGTTAATGTTCATGCCTTAAATCAATGACCTCTACTGTGTGCAGAGGAGGTACCTGGATTGTTTTATTGTGGCCCCTATAGAGGATCAATCCCTCCCTTTCTTAACACCCTTCTACGTGGCTAATTGATTTTCATTTGAAGTAACAGTCATCATGTACTGGGTGTGTGAGGGAGCAAAGTGTCCTGCAATGTGTTGTGTGTTTAATGTTATATTTACATACATCTGCGTCAAATCTTTTCATTTCTTGTTCTAAATTAAGTAAGCTAACTTTTTCTCCTTTTTTTGCATTCCTGAAGTTTGTGATGTGTGTACGGGTGCATGTATGACAAATACAATGTTTTTTTGTTGTTGAATTTTCTATTTATTCAAAAAGAGGGGGTTTAATGGGGAATGGTACAGTTTGTTGTTTTTTCTCATTGATTTTTTTTCTGGCAGGAAGCGATTATCACTCTTTCTTCCCGACTGATTAATGTGTCATTCAATGGAGGGGATGTGTCTATAATTAGCTTCTCATTACTAGCACCTTCACGTCTTAATCCTCCACTTTAATGACCCTTCCCCTGTTCTTCCTTCTGAGCATGTGCAACCTTTGCATTGGCTAATAGTGCAAAAAATAAAAACAATTGGAAAAAAACTTCATAAATACAGATGTCTTAGTGATGGCAGACATCTCGATGTTGCAGGCAACATTGCTTATCTGAGGCTGCACATGTGTTCTCGTGGGTCACCCCTGGGTGCCTCAGACTGTCCTGTATGTGTAAATTATTCAAACTACTTTCAAGTGATTGTTTCAGTTCCTCGAATCTAGCCTGAAATCTCGTCCGTATCTGAAAAGTTTTTAACTGACAGCAACTCAACATGTTCAGCTTCTTTTGTTAGTAAGAAGATGGCTGTACCATACTTTTGTTACCCTTTATAATGTGTCTTATAATCCATCTATCCCAGCCTCTTTATTTTTAATTTTTTTCGTTTGCAGAGTGTGAGCATGTGTGTGTTGATTTTTGGTTCTCTGCAGAACAAATGCAGTGCCTTGTTCAAGTGAAATGTTGGATAATTCATTCAAATCAGGAAGTCGTTTGATGTCAGGTCACGGTGAACGAATGCAATGTTTTCAGGGTTTGTGTGGTTTTTTTGTTTGAATAAAGAAGAAGTAACTTTCACACCAGGGTTGAAATCAAATCACCTTCAGTCAAAATGCACAAAAAAAGAACATTACACTTCTGAAAGGTTTCCAAATTGAGACAAAGGTGTCTCATGATCTATTGAAGAAAAACAAAATGTTTACAAGCGTTATCTCGTGGCAGGACTTCCTGGTTTGGTAGGACTCCCTGGTTTAACAGGTCGAAGGTGAATTGACTCCAGCCCTGACTGAGTTTCTTTTCAAAGTGCTTTTAAGAAACACATAACAATCATTCACTCTTAACTCTGTTATTTTACAAAATGTTATTTTTGTTGTTACATACTGGCAAAAAAAAGAAGCAGGTTTTGTACTTATGAACTCTTAATTGGCCCAACTCTGGCCTTTTGTATCGGATTTCTTCAACAAAAATAAAAAGGGATTGTTTTGATTTGATCCTCCGAAACGCAGCGTCTCTCTCTGAACAACAGACAGAAATACAACACGTGTCAGACCAGGAAAGGAGGAATAAGTGCAAGTTGGTTTGGGAGAAATTAAATAAATTTAGATGATAAATCAAGTCAGGGGGAGGGGAAGCTGAGAGAGACCGGGACACACAATTAAAACCAACTTTTAATCAAAATTATCTCACAATTTAGCATAATAATAAAACTCAAGAGCTGGGAGCACAGCAGGAAATGAAACAGAAAATAAATCAACATAAAAGGGTCAATTACTAATTTCCTGCAGTTTTCTTCACTACCTATGAACAGTTACTCACCTTTGCCTCTAGAGGGCGCTCTTCGACCAAAACTGCACAACAAGGAAAGCAAACAAGCATTAAAACATTTCAGCTGATAAAGACCGACCTTAGATTCATATTCATTTCAGAAATGTTTCCTGTTATTGATTCAACTGAATGAAGTGTTTCAGTCCCTCAGTCCATTCCTGGAGATCAACCAAAACAAAATCTAATCAACAAAGCTTTATTGATATCTCACCTTACATACAAATCAAATCTGTCTCTAGTGAGTTTGTGGACGTAAAGGGAATAAAAAATGAGTCATCAGGACATCTCGAGTCTTTGAAAACATCAGTGTTGTTGTGATACAGAGCCTCCAGTAATCTGAGGTCTTTAATTAATGGTTAGATGTTTTGTGTACAATATCCTCTGGAGCAAATATTTGTATTGACTATTCAAATGATTTGAACTCTTGAAGTCCAAGTGATAAAAACAAACAGCTGAGCTATTTCCAGAAAAAGCTAATTAATATTTCCCACCATTTCTAACTATTGTTGTTGAATTTGAGACATCATTTATAAACCATTTTCATTAAAGGTATTATTTCAGATTTTTCCCTTTTTCTTCCTCGCGGTCACATTTAGCAATGCGCTTTGTAAAATATCTTTGCAGCCACTTCTTTTGCTTTTTTAAGTGACTTCAAAGCTCATTTGTCGTTGCATTGGGATTCACTTCACTTCACTTCAACCTTCACTGGCTGCTGATGTTCCCCACATGACAGTACCAGTTTAATCATTGTTAAAATAATAATTACTAGCTAAGTATGGACGATCGTTTGCAGAAGATAACACAGAAATGTTGCTATGATGATGGATGACCACAAGAAAAAGAAAGAATGAAAAGTTCAAGTCTTTGAACATTTATTGGAAATTCCTCAGTGATTTTTCCAAAGAAAGGGCGGTCAAAGTATTTTTGTTTCAGAGGAAAGGTGTACCCGCGATCCCGCATAATACTTAAAGCACTTCCTGTAGATGATACGGGTATGTGTGATTACTGAAGGCGTGTGCACTGAGTCATCTGTTGAGGTGGAAAAATCAGTGGCATTACAAAAAGCCTCTGCCTTTATTCCTTTGTATTGACTGTACTGAGTCAAGTGATTGCAGCAGAGTCATTGAAAGAAGACCATGTCCTAAATTTAAGATGATTACATGTGATGCTAGATTTCAGCCACATTTTGTTAAAAAAGTGAGAATACATTTCCTTAATCTGTTACCAAATCTAGAAATCTTTGCCTGTTTTTTTAGTGTAGCTTTACTGGTTGACCAGTTGACTTGTTTTAAGTCTGGCTGCACCAAAAATCTTGGCGACTGATATTGTCTTGTTTTTTCTCAGATCATCGTTTTGCTCATCGCAACTCATTTCCTCCCCCATTTCTTTATTTTCCTCTCAGGATTGAGAGCTGACTTATTACTTCTGATTGGGTCTTTGAAAGGCCAAGTCCCTGACACACTGTGCAGCTTCTTTTTTAGAGTCAACTAAACATTTTAAACTAGCTGAGACAACCACTTGCTTCTCTTCAGTTGGTATTCTCTCATTATATTTTGTGTATGACCTCTTAAAGCGCCTGCGTTCCCTCTCTGAAGAAGTGAAGAAGACCTCTCGCTTGCTCTTTCTCTCGTTCTTTCTTCTCTCTCTCTGTCTCTCTCTCTCCGCTCTTTCTCTCTCTTTTTGCATCAGGTATTCATTGTGCTATACCAGCATTTTATGGTTGAATTAGTAACTTTTGCATCATTTCGTTATTGTTTTTTTTTCTGTCAGTGTGATGGCACTGTAGGAAATGTTTTTCTTTTAATGTGCCTGAATCATCCCATAAGGAAGGGGTCGGATATGAAAATAAAGATTCATTCATTCATTCTTTCATTCCTTTGGTTAAAACAAATGCTGTTAATAGGTTTGGTTTGCCACTGAGGACTAGTATTACCAGTAGATAGAGACAGCAAAAAAAAAAAGAGGGAGCATGAGATGTTTATCAGTGTGAAGGTGGAGCCTGCTTGTCATTCCTTCAGACGCTTGTAAATCCTTGTGTCAGATCATGGACTGCATGCAGCAGAAAACACACGACCCTCATGGTGAGTTTACAATGTGAAGGAGAGAGAATAATAGGATTAAACATTCTTTAGTCAAGAACTATTGTTTGTTTTTGTTTTCAATGACACATGATGAGAAAAACTTATATTGCTAGTAATTGTTTTTAACCTTTATCTGCAAAACTTTCCTCTTATAATTTCCCCTTTTTTAATGTTAATTCCAGCTCCGGCTGCACTTCTCAAGTATATGATGGATCATTCTAATTTCTCATGCAACCTGTTTTTTCCAGTGTTTTATTCTAGATCAGCATTGTTTTCATAATC